CTGGCACGAGGGGTTGACAGTATATTAATTTGCTTGTGGCCATGGTCAGGCATTAGACCAGAGCTGTGATCGAGGTCTAGATTTAATCAGTGTTGCAGGTTGGGATCAATTTATTGATCTTTAAGGGACCTCTGGAGATCATGTGATCCCACTGCCCTGCTCAAGCAGGATCCTCTGGAGCAGGTTGTCCAGGAGTGTGTCCCAAGGAGTTTTGAGCTTCTTCAAGGATGGACACTTCACAACCCCTCTGGACAACATATCCTGGTGTTCAAAATCCATGCTTTTATTTATTCTATTATTTATTTATTGTTTTACTTTATTTTTATGACATCACCTGTTCCCTTTGCTGTGGTAGCTGAACACCTCCTGTAATTGCAGAAGTCTATCCCAAATCCTCTGGAAAGTGCTTGATTAATCCACTGGAACCTGCTGAGCATGGGATCAAACTGGGGCCGGAAAGGGCTCTGCAGAGGGGCAAGTATCCAGATTCCTGCTTGATTCCACCTAAGCTGTTGAGAGATGGGAAGCTCCCGTTCAAGTTGCCCCGGAGTTTCCATGTGGGTTTTACCAACCACACAGGATGTTGGATGATACGACAGCAAGTAACATTTAAAAACAGCCTTTTATTCCTGTGTCCTTTCTTTGTTTCTTCTGCTGGGAAGTGAATTTTTCTTGTAGGGCTACTTGGCAAGTAGATTTTGCCCCTCTTTCTCCTGTGGAGCAACTAATTTTCCCACTCCCATGTTTTTACTGTGCATTAAGGGATTATACACTTTTTGTACAATTTCTGCAGTAAATTTTTGCACTAACCTGAGTTATGGTCTTCATCATGGAAAATAAAGTAAAATCTCTTGACAAATGATATGCAGTAATAATGAAAAGGATTTTCTAAAGTCTGCGTTCATAAATAGTCTGTTTTGACCACTGTTCTGAAACTGGTATACATAATAATCAAAGTCATATCAAAGCTTTGCCACGTTTACATTTGAAGAAGGCATGGAAAAGTATCTGCTTTTTGTGATAAATTTAACATAGCGGTTGCATTATTTTATTAACTATTCCCTCCTGAGGATTACATTCTCAAAGCAATGCGTGACCATTTAATTGTGTGCCTCCCCTATTAATATTAAACAGAATTAAATTCCCACTGCCACGCTTTGAAAAGGCACCCCTTGCTGTAAGTGCAGCCTCCACAGAGATTAGTGGAATAGCACAACGGGTCCCCGGCATTTTGCTTTTCAGAGTCGCTCAGCACTGATGACCCTGTGCGGCACTTTTACCAGTGCCTCATCCGAAATGTCGACGTTTGGTAATGTGAAGAGACGCGGCGCTTACGGTGGTTTTATTTGGTTGTGTCTGGCATTTTCAGCCAGCCACTCATGGGTTTGTGAGTGATGATATTTCTGTGTTTTAAATAACGTAAAAGCTTATTTCCCTGAGAAAAAGTTAAGTGTGTATATATATACATATATACGCACACATATTCATGGATATATAATATCATTATATATGGGATTTCCCCCTGCACTGGTGGTGAAGGGAGGCTTTTGTGCTGGGCGATCCCCTTGCCTTCCAGGGCAGAGCTGTGGGCTTCAACGATCCCGTCCATCCCATGTTGTAACGCGGATGGAGCCTGCTGCCCGGGCTGGGGCTTTGGAGCTCTGCTCGAGACGGCCCGACGAGCTGCTCAGGAAAAGCAAAGGATCGTTAAATAAACTGTGAGGGTTATTTCTGGGAAAACACAGGGGTGGAAATAGTAATTAGTAATACACATACATATGCCAATATATTTATGGAAAAAAATATATATGCACTGTCTATTAAAAAGTGTAGTGGACCCTGTCACAAAATGGTCCCGCTTACCTGAATCGCCTCTTCCTGTCATTTCCCCTCAGGGTCTGGGTTGTTGGATATAATCAGCTGTGGACTTGACTCAGAAGTTCTGGTTTGATTTTGCAAAAATTCGAAATAAAAAACAACATACAGAGTTCTTCCCATCTGTGACCACTGCCAGTGTATGTCTAGAATTATTCTTATCCTTCTTAAAGACTTCCTGGAGTGTCACTGAAAGGGAACAATATTTAAAGCCTTGTCAAATGTTTCCTGTGTTCTAAGTAGTATTAGCCAAGGTAAAGGCTTAGCTTATAATCTTACCCTTTCTTGACAGTCTGTATTATTTGTACAGTATTATGCAGAAGTTACATGGTTAGTAATAGTCAGGTATCTGGAATCTAACATTAAATGTTCCCTAATTCTTAATTAAGATATGTCCCTTGATCAGTTTTTGAAGTGCATCACTTGTGTAATCTCTTGGCTCAGTTTAGTGTCCTGCCAGATGCTGGGTTTGATCTTTTTCAGTAGTGTTCGTTTTCAGGAGGGCTGGCGACACCCGTAGCAGAAGGAAGGCGGATGCGGAACGGGCCGGTGCAGCTGGCGCGGGTCTGAAGGAGAGGTGCTTGGTGTGTCAGAGCAAGGGCCCTGTGCTCTGCGCGCCCGTTTGCACCACGGTGCTGTGTGGAGGCTGCTTTGGTGGAATAATACTTCTGAAATTTACTCCAGATCTATCCAGTATTCAGTTTGCTTAGGCGTTGACACAATTTTGGTGACATTTTTCTAAAGTGGCTTACGTTCACAGCCAGTTTTTCAAAGCAAACAGATGGCTTTTCAAACAGAGCATGCCCACAGATATTTTTTATGGTGTCTCTAGAATTATGACAGTTCTGTCACTGGGGGTTGGTTTGTCATTAGTTTTCTTGTGACAGATGATTCAAAGTCATTTTTGCTCCTTCAGCTTGGTCAAATGAACCAGCTGTTTAAAAATTTAAAAAAAAATAGAAAGAAGCTAAGACATAGATTAATTGATCTGCACATGAATGAAATTACGCTCTGTTTTGATAAGCCCATTTCCATTTTTAGCAACACTGTGAGATATGAATGCCTCCAGACTCCTGGAAGGATGCTGAGGAAGTGCGGTTGTGCTCTTGGAAGCAGAAGACGCATCACGCGTTGCTGCAGACTGAACCTGCTCCTCTAATCTGTTTGACTTGCCTCGTTATTTAAATGTGAAATTAGAATATGCATGAGGCAGTGAGCTGATGGCTCAGTACTGCCACCCTGGGTGTGAAGTACCGTGGCTTCCTGGGTGCTTGTCTTGGCAGGGCAGACTTAGCCTTTCATCCTCCAGAGAAGGGTGTCGAATCCCAAGCAGTTTTCCTTAAATGAGTCTCATGGAGAGACCTCAACCAAAGACTCGGTTTATGGGCCTCCCTTGAGAGATTCCCGTGCTTCACACGCACCCAAGAAGAAGAAACAAGGAAGGCAACATAGACTCAGCTGAGGCTCTTCTCGTGTCTGCCACGGAGCAGTATCCGTGCTGTGCTGCTCCTGCATGGCAGGGAATACCCCCCTTCCATGCACGGCTCAGGAGCAGGATGTGGTTCCACACAATGAGTCTAAACGAAGGCAAACCGGGCCAAGCCAAGGGGAAACTGAGTACTTCTGGGTACTCGGCTTTCATCCTCATGGTCAGCAGCCCTGTGTCACCTCTATTGGAATATCTCTCCCAGGTTTTGGGCTTTGGCATTGCTGGTGCTTTTTTTTTCACCTATCTTGAGTTACTTGTTGGGCTAAGGGGACTTTTCCGTTCTTGAGCATGATTACCTAGTGCCGATTTGTGCCTCAGAAGTCACAGGTATGATGCGTGAGTACACTGATCTTTGTCTGCTGGCTGGTGCAGCCTTCGATGTCTCCAGTCCCGTGCAGGCGAGACAAAAATAAACAGTCCAGCGTGCTGAAAAATCTGCCCCTTTCCTGGTAACGTGGCTGTGTCGTTAATGATGCTGCTTTTCCACCTTGTCAGCTGTGCTGCGGTGCGCCGTCCCTGCCGCTCTGGTACCGGCACACGGGATTGCCGAGCGGAGACGGAGCTCTTGGACCCAGCCTGTTGCCTTTAACCATAAACTCAACCTTTGTCCTGAAAGCAAAATCAGAGCTATGTGAAAAATGTGCTGCATAAAATTTATTCTTGTTTTGTTTTCCTAAGCCATGTCTGCTCACTGGATTCCAAGCTATTTGTCTGTGTATTCCCATAACTGTCATGCTGTTGAGATACAAATCTCTTCGAAAGTGCTTCATACCAAATTGCACAGCTCCACGCTGACTCCCAGCGCTTTTTGTTATTCCAGCATTAGCT